CGTGAGTTCGGTTCCTGGTACCGGAGAAAAACCAAAAAAAAAAAAAAAAAAAAATCTCTAAAATATTCAGTACAATCGCAGAGAAGGATGAAGCTAACTTTAGACAAGGTCAGGAGGAATTTGACAGAACGTGTCTTGTCTTTAAGGGTAAGATTTTTAGCAGAGTACCATATATGATAGAATGTTTTGGCTTTGACTAACACAAATATTCTCAAGTCCTTAAAGACAATTTATTATTTTAAAGAAAATTTTAATGCAGAAGAGCTCTTCATCAAAGGACCCCAATTCTTTCTACCCATTTACTTTGCCATCCTTGATTTGGCAAATGTCTCCTTACTTGTCTCCCTTAGTGTGGTATAAGATGATTGCTGCAGTTCTAGTTGTGAAAGTGGCCAGCTAAAAGACAGGCGCTAGGTCTTTTCCATGAGCCTTGCTGGGGGCCCTATGTCTTACCAGTGAGAACAGGTCACAGATTGGTTTTGACATACCCTATGGTGAGAGAGGATCCGTCCCTGAGTCAGTGCCCTATAGAGTTGAGCTTCTGTTAATGTGGTGGAAGTGAGGAATGGATTTTGTGTGAGCAACCAACACTATTCACTATTACACACATGGGGAAGGCAGACACAATTGAAGGAGCTTAGAATTTTGAGTCACTGTAGAGTTCAGTGTAAGAGGAGCATAGGTATATTAAAGTGGAATTCAGGGCAAAGAAGTAGATTTTGATCAACTTGTGAAAGTATGGAATTCTGTCATAGGTATCAGGCAGTTTAGATTTAATGGAGCACCTTCTGGTGAGAAGGATATTGGGAGTCAGAAGAGAGAGGCTGACTAGGAGGCTGCTGTGTTTACATGAGTGATATGGTGAGGCCTGGAATTATGGGTGGTGGTAGTAATGTGGGAATAGGGAAAAAAGGGTTTGAGAAATATACACAGAGATAGAGTTAGACGGGAGAGGAGAGAGGTACAAGGAGTTAGAGATAAAGGGAGAGGTAGAGCAAGGGGGGAATGGTGGACTCAGTTGGTAGCTTAGTGATTGTTGAGATAGTGCAAAAAGATACGCTAAAACCAGAGCCATTCTGAGGAGACTTCCTGTCCAGGAAGAGTGGTGGGTAGTGATTGATGCCATTGTTTAAAGTTATGGAGGGCACCTGAGGCAATTATAACTTGATGTGGTCATGGGCTACTTACCTTTATACTGAAAACCACTTACCTTCTGCTTCAGACTTTACCCTTATAAATGTGCTTCAAATTATAATTTTGGAAATGAACTACAAGAGAACCTAGAAGTCAGCAGTTTAATTTCCTCCTTTTACAAATGAGAAAACTGAGACCTAGAAAGGTTGTGCGTTGCCCAGGGTTATTAACCAGACATTAAAAAAAAATTTTTTTTTAATGGACCAGTTAGAACTCAAATTTCTTAAGTCTTAGGTCAGTTCTTATTCAGTTCTGCCATATTTAATAACTATAAACTGGTACGTATTTTATTCATTTGTACTTGAACTCCCCCTGGCAGAACATAGCATATTTAAGTTGTCATTTGCCAGTATTCCTTGTATGTAAAAGCTGGAGAAAGGTTATTTTAAATGTGTCAGAAGTAAAGCTATCTCTGTGGAAGTTTTGGAGTCTGAGGATGACGATACCCTTCAAAAACAGGAGGATTTTTATCAATTGTTAGAAACTTACACCTTCTGCATGTCATATGGACAAACCTGTGAGGATCGTTATTTACTGTCTTAATGGCTGGTACATAGCTAAGAAAAGCTAATGAATGGTAACCAGTCTTTGTGAGTTGTAGGGTTGTTTCTTTGTGTACAGTCCTTAAGAGAGAAGCTCTGGGCTCTGCCTCCTGTTGCCACTCCCAGACTTTTCCACATGGGCAGCCTGGCTGGGTGTCAGTTCCACCAAGTGTGCTCACTCATGGGCAGCCTGGCTGGGTGTCAGTTCCACCAAGTGTGCTCACTCATGTCCTCACACATTTAACTACAGGAGTTTTGTGTCAGGAATGGGTGTGGAGGGCCAGATGTCCCCATGGCCTGCATCCTCACAGCCCCCAGATCCAATGCACCACTGTCTAATAAACAGCAGCTTTCAGTGCTGCTCACACCTGCCCCTGCTCTTTTATTGTACCACTGATTGTCTGACTTCAGCTATTCTTATTTTGTTGGGATTTTTTCCCTCTTAACTAGAATAGAAATGCCATGAAGGTTGAGACTAACTCATTCATTTACATTAGTAGCTGTGACCTCAAGAACAGTGTCTGGTAAATACTGAGAGCTCAATAAGTGCACATATGTTAACCGTGCACATGAGTGCCAGAGAACCTGTTGTGGCGCATGCTTGCTTCTGCGACGAGAACAGATGCTTGATAGCCGAGTCCAGAAGCCTTCAGTGCTTCCCAAGCTGTACTGTGGAGCTGCTTCAGGGACATCCTGAAGCAGGGGTGATAAGTGGGTGGGGTTTGAGATCTTTTGCTTCCCATCTAGAATTGTTTGTTTCAAGTAAAGGTTACTGGCTATTGGAAGGCACTGCTTTGAATTTGAGAGGCAGCTTCTGATCTCAAAGATCTATAAAGCTGCTGGCTGTGTTCATTGAGGGATGTCTCTGCCCATGATCCATTTTGAGCAGTCTGTTACCGTTTCTATTCTCTCCAGATTTTTTAACCTCATTTTTGATAAACTTGTTAAATAGGAATAATTAGTAATTTAATCTAAGAAAAAGTACCACAGTGAATTTTATTTGAGAATTTATTTAATTATGATAAATGTAATATCTAATCTCTATAACATCAAGGCATTGAACCCTTGGGATATTTCTTTGAACCTCTTTAAAGCCTTGTGGTTCTGAGAACTCTTTTCCAACTGAACTTACTCCCCAACCCCCACGCTGCCCTGCCCCAAATTAGACATGGGGCTTGGCAGCTGTTTGCTCTGTTTTATTATAACCTTCCTTAACGCTAAGAAATTAGTGCCAGTTTCTGTTTTTTTACGCACATTTTAAAAACTATGATAGGAAAATGCATGACCCACTTTGGTGCTTTCCTTGGTTGGTACAAATAGCATCATGTGCTATATTTAGAAATTATATCTTTTGTATTTTGTGCAAAGAACTAATTTAGCTGAAGTGGAGTTGTATAAATTGAGAAGTAATGTGTTCTTTGTAGAGCTATTTTATGATACTTGTATGGCTAAGAATTTTTAACATAACTTTTTTTAATATTACCATAGTAGAGTAATGGAACAATTCAAAAGTACACTGAATGTAGTTACATCATCTTATAATTTAGTGGCCAGGAAAAATGCATGTATAAGAAATGTGATTATAAATATGTGTATGGGAATGTGTAACACATCCAGTAAACACATCTGCTGCCAGAACCTTTAATTTAGGTAGTTGAACTTTTAAGTGCTAAATACTATAATTTACCAAGTTTTTAATTCTCTTTTTATGAGTCTTTTTAAAAATGTTTTAATAGACTCAATATATTTTGAGTGAATGAGTTACTCAGCCTGTTCACAGATGTACTCAACAATTTAAATGTGATGCATGTGTAGTGTGAGACTAATAAGTTGTCACTATTTTGATATGTAAAGGTTGAAAAAATTTTCTCCAACCTAGTTCTAAACTGGTGGTTGTGCCTCCTTGTTTTTCTTGTGTTGAGCCTTTGAAAGCTCTCATAGCCACTGTACGTGTTCACATTGCATTTGGCATTTTCCCTTTAATACAGTAGTGCTGATTTACCTTTTCTTCCTCACTGGATCATTAACTTCTCGTTTGTCAGATAACTTTTGGCCAGCTCTCAGTTCCCTTTATTAAATTTCTTTTAGCTCCTCTTACAGCCACCGTGTCATTGTTTATTTGAATCTTCCACTTACAATCTTTGTGCAATCCACTAGGATCTTCTCTTAGTCTTTTTTGCCTCTTGTAATTTCTGAGTCTAGATGATATTAGAGCAAAAATACTGATTTTTATAAAAGCACTTTGCCCTTTTTCATGTGTGGCATAGATTTCTCACTATTCATTGGTTTAACTTCCTAACTTTTGAATTCTCTTGTCTATTTTAGCCTTGGTTTTGAGAGGTTACTTTTTGGTAATAATTATTTTTTATTTCTTTGGAATCAGCCCCATTTTAGAAGCCACAATATACTTTGACTTTTTATATAAACTTAAACAGACCAAGTTCAAGTTTAACTGTGTTGCCATAAGTTGTGGGGCAGGGGCAGTTGGTCATTTTAAATGGATGTTTTGGGTTACTTGGTGACAGAAGGCTTGCTAGTGACAGAACGAAATTATAAAAACCTACAGAGATCCAGTTTGGCACCAAGGAAACAAGGTGCCCTAGGTATAGATAATCTAATTTATGTTTTCTGTTTTTATAATTAGTTCATGTTTGCAGTACCTGTTTACATCCCTTGTAGAGAGTTGACCTATTTATAACATATCTTAATTCTTTTCTCATCCCTTTTCCTTCCTTCCCTCAACCATCCCTTCATCTCTTGATCCCCTTCCCATATGAGAGAGATATATTTCCCTCCTTCATTTTTTCTATCTTCTATTTTGCTTTTAATTTATATTTTGAGCCTCTCATAAGAGAAATCATGTGATATTTAAATTTCATGTGTCTGATTTATTTAGCATTGTGGTATAAAGGTGCATCCATTTTCCTACGAATGACTCAAGTATACCTTTTTTATGATAGAGTAGTACTTCATTGTTGTAAGTACCACTTTTTATTAATTCGTTCATCTGTTGATGCACATACAGGCTTCTTTCAAGACTTAGCCAGCTAGCATGATTCGTGGTGTTATAAACATGAAATGTTTTACTACATTTAAACAAGAAATGTTTTACTACATGTATCATTGTAGTATGATGTCTTGATCTTTTTTAGGAAGATACCCAGAAGGGAAATAGCTGGATTAAATGGAATATTTTGTTTCAGTTTTTTGAGGAATCTCCATACTGATTTCCATAGTAGTTGTACATGTTTACATTCTCACCAACAGTGTAGCAGGGTTCCTTTTTCCCTGCATCCTCACCAGCGTTTATTATTTGACTTCTTGATGATGGCCATTCTTTCTGAGGAAAGATGGAATTGCAAAGTTGTTTTAATTTGCATTTTTCTAATGGTCAGTAATGTTGAATTTATCTTTTCTTTGGAGGAAAACAGAAATAGAAATTAAGTTATTAAAATGCCTTGATTTTTGAAGTTCTTAATGCAAATTACATATGTTATTGAGAATTATTAAGTAAGGTAAGCTAGGTAATGAAATTTGGTCTTCTATCAAGTGAAGGTCTGTTCTGTGTCTCCTTCTTATCTTTGGATTTTTGTTTATATTTTGCCATTGTGGTTTCACCTTTTCACTAACAGGTGAATGCCAGTCAGCGTAGAGATGGACCTCCTGTGCTTATAGGCAGCGGGCTTTCTTCAGAACAACAGAAAATGCTTGGAGAGCTAGCCGCAATGCTTAAAATTAAAAAGTGCTCGGAGTTTGACAGTACCGGTGAGAAATTTTGAATTTTTTTTTTGTAAAAAAAAAAAAGTTTTAAATAAGTAATCTCTTTGGATAACTACTTTTGATAATTTATGTATGTTTTAACTATTGGGATGTAGCTATATATTTTGGTATCTTGTAATCTAAAATAGTTTACAGTAATAAACTATTTATTTATAAACAATGTAGTTAGGAAATGTAAAGTTTAAAGCCTTGTACATATTTTAAGACAGAACAGTATATCAGAAGAACAAATTTATGAGTTTGCTAATAACAAGTAGTAGTGCAGTGTAATGCCATAATTCCTTAGTTATTTGAAGACAGCAGAAAATTGGTGTTAATGTGGCTTTAAGAGATATATGGTAGTGCTCTGATTTTTTTCTGTTGAGGGTCAGGTTGGAGAAGGATACTAAACAAAAGAAATGTTTTACAACAGGGTAAAAATTGTTATCTTTGAGGAAAATTCAGATATGTTAATGAAATAGGCCAAGTAGTTATAAAAAGCAGGCTAGTTATAGAATTATTGAGGTTCGTATCTGTCTTGCTTACTGCTTTTTTTTTTTCACATCGTAGTAACTCACGTCATTATTCCTGGTGATGAAGCCCAGAGTACTCTCAAGTGTATGCTCGGGATTCTCAATGGATGCTGGGTTCTCAAGTTTGACTGTAAGTACTAGATTTGGGAGAATTAACCAAATGAATTAACTAGGCTAGTTTGCTTTTCATGGTCATTACTATTCTTAATTATTTAAGGAATTTACGCTAATCTTCCTATTTCTTACTAGTTTCTATATTTTGAAAAACTCATGTTAATAGTGTTATTTAGATGTTCTTGGTAAGTGTCCACAGATAAGTTCTGCTTTTAAAACCTTTTCTTCTCTAATGCCAAATGTACTAATGAAGCATAAATGGAATACATTGCAGATTTTTAAGCCTAACCAATCAATATGACTATTAAATGATAGATTTAACTTAACATACTCATGTTTTAAATACATCACCTGTTAGGTCAATGAAATGGAAATAGTTTCTTGCTTACCTTTTACTATTTATAAAACATTACCTTCCTAACATCCTTTTGCTCTTTTAGCTACTCTGGTATTTTTAGATAGTTGTTGGGAAATTTAGCCTGCCTCATCCTACCTGGTCTGGGATGACTGCAGCAGCTGTTTCACTTCATCTACACTAAAACCATGGCAGCAGTCACCTTGTTAGCAAACACCACCTCTTCACAGGTGCTGTCTACCCTCCTGCTGGTCACTTGTGTGGTTTTCTTAATCTGGGATTTTCTTAAATTGAAACATTATGAAAAAGAATGCTCATGCTGGTTTATTTTCTAGTTCATAATAGCTAAAACATCTTTTGATGTGATAGCTAAAAAAGGGCAGCATTTTGACCTGTTTCAATTCACGAATTGTTAGAAAAGGTTGGTGACTACAGAAGAATTACATGAGGAGTCTTGTGATGATTTAGCTGAAGTGATCAGAGTGGTTATGATATGCAAGGCTACCTGTGTGTTGAAAATGCATAGATCTCCACACACACATATGTAATTGCTGTGGATTGTGTGGTCATTCTGTTGTTACTCTGCTAGAGTTGTATAATATGTTAACACTGAACCCTGGAGGAATGGTGCATGGGACTTCCTTATATACTTCTTTGCAGCCTCCTGTGACTATAATTACTTCAAAATAAAAAGTTATAAGAATATTGAGTATATCTGTTGAAATTTTCTTTGTAAGAAGCAAATGATGGATTAAAATTCATTTTTAAAAAACTGATCTCTGGCTTTGTGCTTTGAAAGTTTTACAGTAGAATGCTTGATGTATCAGATCCTAATTGTATTATTAATTTAATCTATTTTAAAGTTGATTTGGTTTGTAAAAGTGTTTCCATCTGCAACTGGTGTTTATGCCCTTTTTAAGTGTGTTTCCATTTCTTGTGGTGTTGGTCTCCACCGATATCAGGTCCAGCTAAGTGCTGTGACTAGCAGTTCTCATTCATCTCTTTATTAGTCCCTCTGGTCATGAGAAGTATGATAAGTAATTGGATTGACTGACCATTTTACTTAGGAAAAAGAGTTTCTCTTTATGTCTATTTTTGAACATACTTTTCCCTTACAAGTCTGTGGTAAGTCTCACTGAGCCTCAAATGTTTAAAAAACTCACTTAAAATGGCTCCTTGAGTATGAATTGTTTGTTTTCTGTTTGTTTGACAGTACTGGGGATTGAACCTATGGGCTTTTGCATGCTAGCCAAGTGCTCTACCACTGAGTCACACCCCAGCTTGATTAGTTTTTTTTTATACCATGTATATATGCCAGAAACTCGGCCAGTGGTTATAAGAAGAGATAGATTTTTCCTAATAATGAGGTCTCAGTAATAACAAAATCATATAAAATTTTGAATATCATGATGTTTATCATTTAACTTTCAGTCTAGTTCTTGAAAATATGCTGAACTGGCATTCCATTACATATACAGGCAATATGATTCATTTCCATAAAATCTACCTTCTTCAGGAAATGTGAGCTTTGTCATTTTAATGGCTTGGCCATGTCATTTTTATAGAATCACTGATGAGCTCAAGCTGACTTAATAGTGTGCTACATGGTGATTCTCACAGTGGTGAATAACATCCTCTAATATCAGTGGCTCTTTTAGGATAAAGGATGGATGAAGCTCTTATTGAAGTTCATATCTTCATATTTTCTAATATAGAGTTCAAAGAGAAGTAAGTTCAAGGTTTGAGAGAATTTAAATAATCCTGGAGTATATAAAAAAAGCAAGAACTCTAGTACCTTCTTTCCTAGTACAGTATATGAATTTCTCACAGTTTCCATATTGTTCTTAGCGTAGTACCTCTCAGTTTGATTTTTAAAAATGTTTCAGAACTATTCATAGCTGTCTGAAAATCATGTATGTTAAAGAAAGGTGAAATAGACTAATGCTTTCAAAGTTAGTTGGAAAGATTCATGGCTTATTAAAACTAGGTCTGCCCAGGTGTGATGGTACATGCCTGTAATCCCAGCACTCAGTAGGGTGAGGCAAGAGGGTCACCGTGGGTTTGAGGCCAGACTGGCTACACAGTGAGTCCAAGACCAACCTGACATAGGGAGACCCTGTCTCAAAAATAACAAAAATAAAAACAAAAATCAAAACTAGGTCTGGTGTTTGAACCTAGATACTAGTTTGCTCAAGGTTAGACAAAATATTTACTAGATTAACTATTAAGAAACATAAAAATACTTTTTATGAGATTGTCTATAAACCAAATAAATTCAAGAGGAATTTTTATCTGTTTTCTCTATAAGTAGTTAATTCATTTAGGAAATTAAACAAATTAACAAAAAAGAATTCAAAGAGTTTTTGACTTGTTGCATTCAAGTTTGTTGGAAGTTTCCATTTAAGTGTTTTGTCTTAATTGGTGAATAGGTCTTCCTGATTATGTATGTGTAGCATATTTGCTACAGTTAATGGACTTAAACATGAAGATTCTGAGAACAGGCCATAATTATAGTGCTGAAATAGCCATCCAGACTTACTATATTTATTTTACAGATATTTTACAGGATAATATTTATGTTAAAGTTTACAAAAATAGGAGCTACAGATAGGAAAAGTTCATTTTTGCCACCTATTCCTTGAACGGAGAACTGATATGTAGAATATACAAAGAACTAAAAGAAATAAGACTCTTCAGAATAACTCCCAATCAGAAAATGGGCAGCTGAAGTAAACACTTCTTAGAAGAAATACAAATATATAATAAATATATGAAAAAATGTTCAACACCTTCGGTCATCAGAGAAATGCAAATTAAAGCAACACTTTCCATCTTTCTCCAGAAAGAATGACCACCATCAAAAAAAAAAAAACAAATGCTGGCAAAACTTTTGGGAAAAGAAACCCTTCTATATTGTTGGTAGAAATGTAAGCTAGTACAACCATTATGGAAATCAGTGTGGAGATTCCTCAGAAAAGTAAAGGTAGAAATTCCATTTGAGCTGGGGATATAGCTCAGCAGCACAGTGCCTGCCTGGAAAGCACAAGGTCATGCGTTTGCTTCCCAGTACCAAAAAAAAGAAAGAAAGAAAGAAAGAAATTCCATTTGACCAAGTCATTTCCCCATATCTTCCTGAAAGAGTTAAAGACATCATTCTATAGTTACACATGCATACCCATGTTTAGCAGCACAGTTTATAATAGCTAAATCGTAGAAGCAACTATGTGTCCATCAGCAGATGAACGGATTTTTTATTTATTTATTTATTTATTTTGGTTTTTCTCCGGTACCGGGAACCGAACTCACGACCTAGCGCTTGCCAGGCAGGCACTTTGCCGCTGAGCTAAATCCCCAGCCCCGAACGGATTTTTTAAAAAGTGGTATTTACACACATTTGGGTACTGCTCTGCCATAAAGAAAGGTAAACTTGAATTAGTTGTAGGGAAATGGATGCACCTCAAGACCATAATGTTAAGTGAAATAAATCAGACACACATCTTAAATATCTCATGGCTTCTCTTACATGAGAAACCCAGAATGTAAATAAAGAGCAAAATAAAAGATAATAGGAGAAAGGGGGACCGATCTTTTGCAAAGTGAATGGGATCGAGACATGGAAGGAGGGGAGGGAAAGAAAAGGGAAGAGAGGGGATGAGAACACGAATTAAAATGTGCTGTGCACATGTCCCCACTCCCTTGAGAAAAGGAATCACTGTGTTCTGCAAACGTGTACTAATTAATAGTCATAAAAGATAGAAAGAAAACTTCGGAAAAAACAGTTATGAGAGGTTGGGAAGGTAGCTTAGGGTAGAGCATCAGCTTCACGGGCAGGAGGTGCCCTGACTTCAGTCCCCAGCACCACCAATTTTTAAAAAGCAGAGATCCAGTTTGTGACTGCTTCAGCATTATCTTTGGCATTAATTCCTCACAGGCAACTCACCCTTGTATAAAGGTGGGTTTTGTAGAAAAGTGACTAAAATGAAAGAATAGAAGATGTATAACTAAGTCATTTTATTACTCTCTTAGAATATAAATAAGACTAAAGCTATATCCTACAGGTGCAAACTAGCTGTCTATATGATATTTTTTAGTGATCTGTCCATTTAGAGCACAGCTTTGAAGTTTTTCATCTAGCTTGACCTTTGTTATTTTTCTAATGAATTCTGCATCCTCATTTCTCACCTTGTTGTGTAGGAGCACAGATGGCTGTCATCGTCTTTAATAATCTCTCCTTCTTCCCCTCTCTCATCTAAGTTTAAATGAAATTTCAGCTGTAGAGGTTTTACAAGTCGCAGCACCTGAAAGAATTGCTGCAATGTGCCAGACATAGCGTGGTGGACTTTTATCTGGAGCTGGGGAATGGCTAGACAGAGAGTCTTTGTTGTTTTTGCTTTGTTTTTGTTGAGGAATGATGGACCCTGAAAGAATCATTAAATAATAAGTTTGTAAGTAATCTCATAATCAGACTAGCAAATTCATTTTCTTCCCCTTTTTTTGGTGCTAAATTGCCTAGGTGGTCCTCAAACTATCCTTCCACCTCAGGTCCTGAGCAGCCAGGATTAGAGGCATCTACCACCACACTCAGCTACATTCATTCTTTTCTATTAAGTTTTCCCTCTTTAAGTGGATATTCAGCGTGCCATGGAATTTTAAATATCAAT